AGGCAAACTAAAAGTAAATTTGCCATTATCTGAACCTCTAAGAACTGGAGGGAGTATTTTGAAGCTGTACAAAATAGAGAAGGAATGAGAATGAAAGAAAAATCTTTAAAAAGAGACTGTAACCCTGGGAAGGCCCTCCTGAAAATCTGGCCCAAGAAACCTCTAAAAATTAATTTTAGTTTAAGGGAGTTCTACAGAAGTTGTATTCTCAGGCCTCAGCTTTAAAAGCAAGCCAAAATCTTCTATTGACAAACAGCTTCATTCAAGTCTTCAAGAGCCTCCACAGTTTTTGGTGTTTTGTTTTGGTACTGGGGATTGAACCTAGGGGCACTTGACTACATTCCCAGTACTTTTTTATTTTGAGACAGTTTCACTATGTTGCTGAGAGTCTTGCTAAGTCACTGAGGCTGTCCTCAAACTTGCTATCCTCCTACCTCAGTTTCCTGAGTTACTGGAATTATAGACATATGCCATCATATCCTGCCCCCCAAAATAATATTTTAAAGACAACTCAGTTACTCAGTCAAGCATAAAAGGTGTGTATGTGTGTGTGTGTGTGTGTGTGTGTGTGTGAGTGTGTGAGAGAGAGAGAGAGAGAGAAATAACTTCAAAGAAAAAAATCAAAAACACCAGCAGATAGAGCTCTATAAATGCTTCACCTATTGGAATTATCAGAGGTAGATTACAAATCAACATGCCTACTGCTCTTAAAAGAAACAGAGGATAGCTACATATGAGAAAAGAATGGTCCTGATTGGGCTGGGGATTTAGCTAAGTGATAGAGCACTTGCCTAGCATGCTCTAGGCCCAGGGCTTGATCCAACCCAGCAAAGGAAGGGAGGGAGGGAGGGAGGGAAAAGAAGGTCCAGATAACATCCATGGTTAGTTCTATCACACTTTTAGGAAGAAATACCCAATCTTACAAAAATACTTCTAGAACATTGAGAGAACAGGACATGTCAGAAATATTATACCCTGTTTTAGACTATGAGGCCAGCATATCCTTGACAACTAAATCTCATGAGAACAGTACAATAAAAGAACAATTGACAGGGGCTTTGGCACCCACCTGTAATCCTAGTGAGCAGGAGGATCACAAGTTCTGGGCCAGCCTCTAAGACATAATTAGGCCCTACGCCCCTCTGAGGTCAATCCCCAGCATCCCCCCTCAACAAAAATTACAGGCAATCTGATAAATATAATGAAAAAGAAATACTGTATAAATTATTAATAAACCAATTACAAAAACATAGTGATACTTCATCATAACCAAATTGGGTCAAATATATCCCAGAAATGCAAAGTTGATTTAATTATAAAACATACAAACATGAAGAGATGAAAATAAGGCCATATACATATGTACACACCTCTATTTACAAAACAAACAAACAAGCAAAAAATAAAAAAACCCAAATAAGCAAAGAATCAATAAAAATGGTTACCAGCTAGTGGAAGAAGCAAAGAACAGAGGCTTCAGAGATATGTGAACATATTTCTGATTTTTAATTTAATCACAAAAAGTAAATCAATTAATTCATCACATCAACATAGATCATTCCAACAATTGCAGAAAAATAGCTTGATATTCAATATCTAAGAAATATCTAAGAAAAACAGCAAACTAGGACTAAAATAGAATCTTCTTAATCTGATGAAACATATCTATTAAAAACTATAAAATATATCATACTTCAAATAAATTATTAGGATATGTAAGAGAATTTAGCAGATAGCTTAATATAAAAACCAATATGGAGGCCAGACACAGTAGCGCACACCGGTAATCCCAATAGTTCTGAAGGCTGAGACAGGAGGATGGCAAGTTCAAAGCCAGCTTCAGAAATTTAGTGAGTTCCTAAGTAATTTAGTGAGATCCTGTCTCTAAATAAAATACAAAATAAGGCTGGGAATGTGACTCAGTGGTCGAGTGTCCTGGAGCTCAATCCCTGGTACGAAGAAAAAAAAAAACTCAATATGGAAAATCTAATCAAATTCCTATCCGTAATTAAAAAGCAAAAATTAAAAACATTTTTACAATATAAAATTATGAAATATATAAAATAAACTTCACAAAGGATCTTTTAGGAAAACTATAACTGAAGCAATAAAACCTAAATAAATGGACCATAATACTTTTTATTGTAATGGTATTAATTCTCCTTATATTGGTTTATAAATTCAATACAATACCCAAAAAATACCTCCAAAAAATCTTGAAAAAATTTTTTTATAGGGCTGGTGTTGTGGCTCAGCAGTAGAGTGCTTGCCTAGGATGTGCAAGGCCCTGGGTTCGATCCTCAGCAACATATAAAAATAAATAAATAAAATAAAGGTATTGTGTACAACTACAACTAACAAACAAATATTTTTTTAAAATATAGCATAATTCTACAAAATGTAAAGAATAAGGCTGGCTGAAACACTTGTAGAAGAACAAAGTAGAAGGACCTGCTCCACCAGATACTAAAAGCTATGGTAACTGATAAAACATCTTGTTCACAGAGAAATATACTATAACAGTATGGAAAAGAAGAGTTAAGATACACGCTCACTTGATACATGAGATGGCATAGTAGATCAGCATATAAAGGACATTTATTTTTTTTTCTGGCAGTGCTGGGGTGTTCTACCTCTGAGTTAAAATCCCAGGCTTGTTTTAAATTTTTTGTTTTTTGAAACAAGGTCCAGCTAAGTTGCCCTGGCTGGCCTTGAACTTACAAATCTCCTGCCTTAGCCTTGGAAGTCACTGGGATTACAGGCATACCACACACACGTGGCAAAAGGTGTTCTTTTTCAATAAATGCTGTTAGAGCAACTGGTTATCTGTATGGGGGGCAAAAAATGAAACGGACTCCTACTTTCACTAAAAAAAAATCATTACTAAGTGGAATAAGATCAAAAAAGCACAAACCATAAAGTATTGATAAATTATAGCTTGTTAAAATCTTCATTCAAGAACTTAAAAAAAAAGAAAAAACACAAATTAGAAGATATTTGAAACCCATATAAAACAACAAGGAAGTCAAGAACAAATATATGGAAAATTCCTATAGATTAATGAGGAAAAAAAAGATACACACTCCATTAGAAAATGTGCAAAAGATCTGATGGTGTACTTCACGAAAAGAGGAAATACAAAAGATACTCAAAGTCATAAGTAACCAGAGAAATGCAAATAAAAACTACAATAAGATACCATTCATTAAATGCCCATAAGATTGACAAAAATGAAAAACTCTAACAGCAAGTCGTGGTGAAAATATAGAGTAAGCAGAACTCATACTCTTCATGAAGGTGCAAACTGGTACGACCACTTTAGAAAACAGTTGGTAGCATCTAATACTACTGAGGATAGGCATAATCTGTGACCCAGCAATTTCACTCCCAGATTCATAATCTATTTAAAAACACAAGTAACCATATACCAGGACACATAAACAAGAATGTTTATACTGACATTGTAACAGTCCAAAACTTCAAGAATATTCATCTATGACAGAATAGGTAACTTGTAGCATATTCATAAAATAGACTTCAATACAGTAAGGAAAATGAATCACACTCAATGGATGAATCTTGCATTTAAAAACTGAAGCAAAACCCAAAAGAATGTATAATAAAAACATAATACCAATAGTGTCAAGTTCAAATAAATTTAGGAATGCATATATACGTGGTAGAAGTATAAAGATAAGCAAGGAAACTACCCCAAAGTCAGGATAGTGGTTACCTATGAGGGAGAGAGAGATGGTTGTAACTGGAAAAGTGTATAAGTGGTGTCAATATTGCTAGTAATATTCTACTTCTTACCTGGGTGGAAGTTATATCACTATTTGCTCTATAATTGTTACTGTGCATGTTTTTACATACTTTCTGAATGTGTACTTTACAATAATAATAGCAATAATAAAGGAAAAATGTCAATACAAGGGATTTTCATTATCAAAATATGTTATCCAGCTAGGTGCAATAACATATGCCTGCAATCCCAGACTCAGGAGACTGAAGAAGGAGGATCACAAGTTAGAGGCCTGCCTCAGCAACTTAGCAAGACCCTCAGCAAAGTTCTGCCTCAAAATTTAAAAATTAAAATATTGGGGATGTGGCTCTTAGTAAAACTACCCTGGATGCAATTCCCAGTACCAAAAAAATTTTTTGTTATCTCAATGCTAGCAACTGTAAGGTTGCTTAGGGAGCAAAAGTTGTCATAATTTGACATTTACTAATGTAGTGATCACTTAATGCTGATCACACAAACTTCTCAACTTGATTAACATCAGTTTCTCTTGCTTGTTGAGAGCATCCAAAATACAAATACATTTGCAAATTCATTTTTTCAACAAATATTTACTAAATTCTACTACTTGCAAAACACTATTCTTAAGAGTACCAGCAAAGTTCAAGGTAAGTAAAAGCCCAGACAGATAACCTTCATTTCTACCCCCATTTGGCCTTGGCCCTCTTACACTCCTACCAAGTTTCACACACGAAGAACCAAAAAGCAGCATCCAAGGCTCACATCAAGTAATTATGAAAATCACTACCCTAGGGAGTATTCCTTGCAGAGGAATCACTGCTTGGATTTATTTGACAAAATCATGGTTTCCTGTTTTTAAGGAAGCAGAGATCCCTCTATCAAAAACTCTTCCGTCAAGGCAGTAGTTTTGACAATGATGGTGCTTTGGAGACTGACCAAAGTGGGAGTCAAAAACTTTTAAGGAATGCTTTGCCTGGGATCCAGAGGCAAGAGGCTTGCAATTTTTCAGAAATTATACACTAGATTTCATGTGTACACATATGTTTTTTCAGGTTAATGGCCACACCTTCAAGTGATTCTCAAAGTTGTTCAACCAAAAAGGGTGAATAAAAACAGCTCCCAGGAAGTTGAATAGTCTAGCTTTTGAGGGACAAGTCAATGTAGTCACTGCGAGGTCATCTGAATTGAAACCCACCTGTCCTGACCCCTAGGCCTCTGCTCTTCAATACCCAATACTTACTCTCAATTCTTCGAAGGCTTCATCTAGAGTGGAGAGCTGGTGGCCCTGGTGAGCCCCAATGACTGGACACAGGACACAGATGAGCTGCCTATCTTCCTGGCAATAGGTGCTCAAATCCAGCCCATGGTCTGGACACTTCCTCTTGGCCACTCTCTCGGCTTCCATTTCTATTTCTGGGTCGAATTCGCTTTCTGCCTCGGTTTCCCCTTCTGCCTCCGACTCTCCTTCTTGGTTGTCTTCCTCCGCCTCGCTCTCTTGCTCATCCTCCATTTCTTCCTCACTGTCCTCGTCACTCTCTTCGTCGCTCTCGTCCTCGCTCTCTTCCTCCGTCTCGCTCTCTTCCTCCGACTCACTGTCCTCCTCCGACTCGCTCTCTTCCCCCGCCTCGCTTTCTACCTCCCCGTCCTGCTCCACCTTGGCCCCGACCTCTTCCTTCCCGGCCCCCTCCCCGCCGGCTCGCGAGGTCCAGGCCTGGGCGCCATGGATGTACTCTGCCAGGTGGTGACTGAGGAACTTCTCCTTGTGCGCCTCGGCGTGGCGGCGACAGTAGCAGAAGCCGCATTCTCGGCACACTTCCTCGGCGCCCGGAGCCTCGTCGGGCTCGCACTCGTCACACGTGCCGTCGTGAGGCAGCTCCTCGAAGGCCGCGCCCACTCCGGAGGCCATGTGGGTGCTGTG